AATTTGATTTTCAAATCCATAAGCTAATTGATTAGATTGCCAAAATCATCGAAGTTGTCATTGCGTAGTGGATCTTCTGAATTATGGACATTTAGTCAAATGCTGAAAAGGAGCTACGTAAAAATATCAAAATACATGCACTATTACTTCACACACAGAACGCTTATAATTTATGCAGTACATGTAATAAACTCAATTCTTGAGGGTGACAGTCCTGTTGGCGTTTCGTACAAATGACGATAGAGCCATTCGCGATATGCCCTCTTCTTCATAGAATATTTCACAAGGAATTAAAAACAAACAAAAACTTGCCCACTGTTTCATATTGGCACATGAAACCAAGTCCGTATGCAAGAGCAATATCCGGATTCAGTGAATTTAACAATCGTACGGATTTTGGGAATGAAGAAAGCAAATCCTTCACAGCGAACAAAAGTTGCCAAGCGTAAAGCACCACCCAAACGAATGGTACTATTTGCATCGCAGCAGCACCTGGTTAAAAACAACCCACAGTTTTGAGCGAAAAGCAATAAAGTAAGAAATTTGGGAGAAACTTTTGCAGAGATGAAAAATGTGGGCCAGCTCAAATTAAAGATGGACTTGTCTTTGTGTCAGTTCATAATGTCTGAAAAATTTCAAGTCAACTTCGGAAAAATAGCCTTCAGGAGCGTCATTTTCGCTTTGTTTTATTTGTCCAGAAATAGTTTTTCCAAATAAATCTTATATTAAACAAAAACTTTAGCCAATCCTGGAAATTCACGAAAAGTTGAAGAAAATTTGAAAAAATGCGCACTGCTTACCGTAACCGTATTGGACATTAAGAATTTTTGTACACATACGTAAAAAAGAATATTTTACAACTGCTGAATGTGGAGTAGAGGGATCAAAACTGTAATGGACGACATATCACGATTCGAGGGATTTGGAAATACTGAAAATGAGAGGGCTCATATCTTTTGTAAAATGAACTCCAGCGGTAGCAGAAAGTGAGTTAAGGGAAAATTTTGAATTTAGAAATATTTTTCGCATGACTCAAACTTTTACGCCATTATTCGCCAGTAGAACGCAAAGCACGATTTTTGAGCAAAATAGGCTTTGAAAAACGTGATACTGAGACTTACCAGAATCCAGGAAGACCGAAATAGCAAAGCCGACATAAATAACATTGACAGCGTAGAGGGTGAAAAAAACCAATGCAACGGTTGGGTCGCTTTTCGGCGTTACGACGTAGTAAAGTGAAGATAGTACCACAACGGTGACGAAGAGCTTGATGAAATTACTGATCAAATATGAAACCCAAAGCAGCCATTGCGATAGACCCATCACTTTCATATAAGACTACAAAAAAAAAGAATAAGTTCAGTCGAAGTGCGAACTTGGTTCTATCC